TGTAAACCAGCAATCCTTATATGTATAGCTGAGGGCAAGAGAATTGAAAGTGTTTATAAGATGTCAAACTGATGGATTTCATGTGGACCAATTCCATTCTTCCCAGATGGTAGTTTGACATATAAATCAGATATTTTACTAATTTTCATAATGAGAGTTGCCAGGTGCATATTCACTTGAGGTTTTAACAGAGCAGTGTATCTGTTGGAAATCTTACACACAGGCTTCCTTATGTTGTGTTATTCCCACTGACAGGAATTCAGATACCCGGATCAATTCTGTTTTGGTTTTTGCATATTTTACTTCTAAAAACCTAAAACCTATATTCCCAATGAAATAGAATTAGGAAAACAGGACCTATAGAACTAAGCCCTCTTGGATCTCTATTAAGATTTTTCATGGTGCTTTTTATATTCATAATGCTTTGTTCTCACACAGAAATAATATTCCTTGTTTAGAGATTAAAAGCTGTGTTTTCTTTTCTCTTAAAGATACCAGTAAAATAAAGCCCATCTCCTCCCAACCTACATCCTTTAAAATCATGATCCTCCCCCTCCCCCTGCCTGGTGTGGTGGCTCACGCCTGTAATCCTAGCATTCTGGGAGGCCAGGGTGGGAGGATTGCTTGAGGTCAGGAGTTTGAGACCAGCCTTAGTAAGAGCGAGACCTCTCTCTACAAAAAATAGAAAAATTAGCTGGGCATCGTGGTGCACACCTGTAGTGGTGGCTGAGGCAGGAGGATTGCTTGAGCCCAGGAGTTTTGAGGTTGCTGTAAGCTACAATGATGCCACTGCACCCTAGTCGGGGTGACAGAGTGAGACTGTCTCAAAAAAGAAAGAAAGAAAGAAAAAAATAGACCTTTTATTACTGTCTTCGGTAAAAGCCTGCCCTTGGGACTGTTAACACTGAGCTTACCATCTTGATTCCAAATGGTTCCTAACAATTCTGAATGCAAGTTTGGTTGGTTGGTTTCAGAATATTTAGGTCTCTGGATGGAATATCTTCTGTGTCTTTTCTGTGAATTATAAAATTACATTTAGGAAATAAAATCCCTGATTATCCTTCTATAGCAATGCAACCACTGTAATCATTTTGGTATACAGTTGTGTTGCATCACATGCATTTGCAGATTTTTGTATATTCACCTATGCTTATTTGAACGCTATCCCCCCTCCTCACATCCCATATCCTATTTTCCCTCTCACGGAGTGAGCATGGGAGATGAGGATGAGACTTGGCTATGGCTTCTGTTGGTCTCCCTTTCCAAGTTTCTCTGAGTGAGCATTCACTGTGCCGGCTGTGATACTGTTATTTAAAGCAATATATTTTTCACACCTTATGGCCCTTAAGTGCAAGCCAACCTCTTCATCTGGTGTCAACAAAAGGAAAAGTGATCTGTTGCAATGCTGGAGGAAAAACTGGCAATGTTGGACTTAACCTATATTGAAAGATGGTATGTTGTTCTTCACCTTGGGGTGTTCAAGTATGATTTTGACAGTGCCTTGTTTTTATCTCACAAGCTGACTTTTGTCTCTAACCTCTGAGTTAGATGCAATTTCACCGTATTTAATTCTAGTTCTCTTTTCTGTACACATTTTACGTAATTCTCTATAAGCATACATTCATTTTTAAAGCTTTTAAAATATACTATATCAAACATTTTTCCATATTGCTGTATAATTTTTTATAGCCATCATTTACAACAAGACTTTATAGTTTTTGTCTTTTTCAAAAGAATTGCGGAGCCAGTATAGTCAGTTCCTGAGAGTGAATGCTTTCTAATTTGTATACTCAGGCCTACTCATGATGGTTCTGCTATAGATATTTTAAAATAAGAGTAACTGTTGTACTGCTAATTTCAGTATTTCTTAGCTAGGCTTATTATTATATTTCTTAACAAGGGTTTAGATGTGCTCAGGAATGTGGACCCTTTCTGTGACAGGGCTCTGTAGAGTTTGGAATTCAGATTATTCAAATCAGTGTATGATCTTATTAAAGGGTGAGAGGCTATACAGAGTAGTGGTTAACAACATCGATTTAAATGTGGACTGCCTGGGTTTAAAGCTCAGTATTGGTACTTACTTTGTTAATTTGAGCAAATTATTTATCCTCTCTTTGCTTATTTCCTCATGGGCAAAATGAGGTTGATAATATTTACCTCATATAAACTGGCTCAGTTTATAAGAGAAAAAAATAAGAAAAAAAATTTATCTCATAAGGTGGTCTTGTGAGGATTAAATCAGTGTATATGAAGTGTTTAGAATAGAGCCTTATACCAACCAATAAGTTCTATGTAAATACTACTTAGTATCATTGTCTATTTTGGCAATTGCTGAAATTCTTTATGGTATAAGTGTGAGTCTTGAACAAACAAAATGCCTGGATTCAAGATTGGGAACTTTTTATTTGTTTTTTAAATTTACTTTTTATTTTTTATTTTCTTTGGAGACAGTGTCTCACTCTGTTGCCCAGGCTAGAGTGCAGTGGCATGATCATAGGTCACTGTAACCTCAAACTCCTGGACTCAAGCGATCCTCCTGGCTCAGCCTCCTGGGTAGCTGGGACTACAGGTGTGCACCACAATGCCTGGCTAATTTTTTCTATTTTTAGTAGAGATGGGTCTCGCTCTTGCTCAGACTGGTCTCAAACTCCTGAGCTAAAGCGATCCTCCCGCCTCAGCCTCCCAGAGTGCTAGGATTACAGGTGTGAATCACTGCGCCCAGCCTAAGATTGGGTACTTTAAAAAACATTTTTTTAAAGTGTTAGTAAGAAGAAATTGACTGTTGGGCTTGTGAATATTATGTTAAATCTGAAATACATTGTCTCAACATATAGTATTGCAGGGTTGATGTATAGAGATACTATTAGATGCTCATAATGTCTCCTATTGACTGTATCTTTTCCTTCCTGGTAACTTTAGTATCATTGTCTATTTGTCCTTTAGTAAAGTATGAATGTTGTCATGAATCTTCTCTCTTTCTCTGTCCATAGATTGTGTGCTCCTCTAGAGGTTACTTCTTTAAGCACAGAAAAGAAACTTAGGGCTTTGCCAATTTGATGTTAGTTCCCCATGTTTTTCATCTTGGCAGCTTTGGAGAGGGTTGCTTTCCACACACCTGGACACTCCTTTGAGATGTTCTGTAGAGGTAATCAGCACACTCGAGAGTACATCTGCTTGTTCCATGGCTAATTCTTTCTAATTGTGGACATGCATTTGAGTGTTTGCGATAGATATTTTGTGCTAATAGGTATATTAGTTCCTTCCGCTATTCTATATTGTTTCTCAAGAATATTCAGAGCCCTTTACAAAATGCAGACTGTTTTATGTACCAGGTATTTGCTGAGTTTGATCAAAAAGTCCACTGGAAAGGAATTAAGGAACAAAATAATTTCCATCGTTAATAGGATATGTACAAATATGTACACTGTTTCTCTATAGTACATTTATTTCTTCAAAGAGTTACTAAGCAGAGGAGACTGATTTTGTGGTAAGTTTAAACAGAGTTTGGAGGGGTTAGTTTTAATCCATATTGGTCAAAGCTGTGAAATTATGATAGAAAATGAGCCTAAGGTGCTTTCTCAACCTAAGGTGATGCTATTTGTAGTAGCTTTTGCTTCTTCTTTCTGATCATTTTCTAAAACTCAAAGCAAGGATCCACCTATACCATTGTAACATTTCATAGTGAACTTGGAGTATTTAACAAGTCTAAAATCAAAGCTTACTATGTCATAATAAACATTTTAGGCCATTCATTCCATGTGATAAGGAATCCAACTCATTTTACCAAATTTGGTGTGTTTTTACAGTTACACTTTTATATTGCTCTAATTTTTTTGACCTTTGATACCTTGATTCGGTGACGATACCAGTTTCCTATTGTTACATTAATATATACTTTGTGCTCAAAATTATCATAGGTTTTGTGTTGTTTTCTTTCTTGAGTTTTATTTCTCATCTGAACAAATCAGATCTTTTTCTTGCTGTTCCATATGCACAGCGTCACTTCTAGAGATGAGCTTCTTTATCCTGTGAGGCAGTGGAGGAAGCATGGAAACCACTTGTGGAGCATTGCATTGACAAGTGTAGTCACATGGTGGCAGTATCAGGGAAATAATAGGATGGGTTAATATTAGAGTTCAGCAGCCTGTAAATCCCATGACTTTCCATGGGTCATGAGAGCTTCAGGCTTGTGCTGCAAATGACACTTGCTCAGGAGTAAGGTGATGGGTGTTTTATAACTCTAATGGTATATACAAGTCTTAAACATGTACTGATTGCTAACAACTGCTGTCTTTCCGCCAGCCTGCCCCACTGCCAGTCTTTGTGCACAAGCATAATTTTGGACCCAGCTATTCCTACTTATTTATGCTTTTACACCTTCTTCCTTTTATAAAGATTTTAGCTGGTTTATGACTTGAGTTGAAACAAGAAAAAAAAGAGGAGACCTGAATTGGTCTGTCCCCTGCCAACCAGAAGCTTCCTGTGGTATCCAAACAGAATAGTTGCCTCAATCTGTCAGCACTTCTGTCTTTGAAGGTGGTTTCTGCTTAAAAAGCGGTGACTATTAGCATAGCCTTGGGATAATTGCTTTTCCTTCTATTGGGATTCCTTTTTTTTCAGATACTTTCTTGTTCTCGTTGACTTTGTTTTTCCAGAAGATTCAGCCTGTGGTTAAAATGTTTCGGGTCCCCAGATGAACCTTCTGTGGGATTACCCAATTCTGGGGCACCCTCACCAGATCACCAGTGCTAAAGAGGGCAAAGGATCTTCTTGGTTAATAGAAAAAGCCACTTGGAGTGAATCTCAAAGTCCAGAAACATCCAGACTTTCCTTCAGTACTTTTTCCTGTTTAGGCTAGCAGTTATGCCTAGTATAGGGGAGGGAGGGCCTAGTTGGGAGGGCTTTTGTTTAAGGGGTTCAGAAACAGGGGATTTAAGTGTGTCTTTTGTGTTTGCAAGGCACTAACACCGCTCCCGTCTGTATTTAAATGCTGTCCCCAGGTTACGACTATGGCTATGTCTGCGTGGAGTTTTCACTCTTGGAAGATGCCATCGGATGCATGGAGGCCAACCAGGTTGCTTTATACTTCGGTCAAATGATGCTGGAAGGATATATTTTTTTATGTATGGGAGGGAAGGTTTCAAATGATTTCACTTTGGAAAGGTACAAGAAGTCTATCTTAGGAACAGACCACGTTCCAACCAATTCAAGGTTGTGAGGAAAAACTTCTAAAAAGGCTGGGAAACTTTCTAAAAGAATTAATGGGCACAGAGTGTATTTTAAAAACTGGAGCCCAGTTGCATTCTGACTAAATTCTAAAGACAGTGGATGGGGGGAAGAAAGACAGGTCTGGAGTGCTTCCTTTTGGAGTGTGACTGAGATGGGGATCCTGATGCCATGAAATGATCCTTGATTGTTTGTGATCCCAACGATCTGCCAGGCACAAGAATTCTAAGTCAATAGTTACATCCAGACCTAGGGTGAAGACCACTGTTGGTGACTCCTGTAGCACTCAGGTCCTGACTACACAGACTACTTTTGAAAGAGGGTCATTAGGGAAGAGAGAGGAGTGGATTGTTTGTATCTATTGCATTCATCGTTGTTCTTTGCCAATTGGAATTGCATACTCAATTTCTTGGCTGCATATAGTCAGAGCTGGTGAATCTGAATCTGTACTTACCTTATGTTTGAACCATCTGGAGTTATTCAGTTTGCCACCTAGAATTGTCATCTGTGTCTTTAATTGAACCCTACCTTGTAGTTTTGGGAGGATTTACTAAATTGGTAGAATCTTTTTTGTTATGGTGTTTCCTTGGGGAAAGTAGTTTTCTTTGAGTTGTCTTAGTTCCTCCATGGTAAAATGGGAAAAATAAGTTTAGGGATATAGCTTGATTTTTATGTACCCCCTGCTTATACTTAAGAGTGTGAAATACAGTGAGCCCAGAATCTTAAAAGAAGGCTCTGCCAGAGAAAAATAGTTAATACGTGAGAACTCTTCCTCTTTTCTAGCCCTTCCATCAGCTTTGTTCCACTCAGCATGGCTCATTACACTTACTTTTCCCTTCTTTGGCCATGTTCTCTCCTTACGATTATGGAGAGGCCATACTCTAAATGCTTTGGAGTCAAGCACTAATTAGAGAAAACTTTTGATATATCCTTACCTCTTGTTAGTAGCATTAAGAACTGTCATTCTAGGCCAGGCGCGGTGGCTCACGCCTCTAATCCTAGCTCTCTGGGAGGCTGAGGCGGGTGGATCGTTTGAGCTCAGGAGTTCAAGACCAGCCTGAGCAAGAGCCAGACCCCCGTCTCTACTAAAAATATAGAAAGAAGTTAGCTGGACAACTAAAAATAAATAGAAAAAATTAGCCCGGCATTGTGGCACATGCCTGTAGTCCCAGCTACTCAAGAGGCTGAGGCAGAAGGATCGCGTGAGCCCAGGAGTTTGAGGTTGCTGTGATCTAGGCTGATGCCATGGCACTCTAGCCCAGGCAACAGAGTGAGACTCTGTCTTAAGAAAAAGAATTGTCATTCTAATATGTCTGATGTCTTAAAAAAATGAATAAAATTTAAAAAATAAAAGAACTGTCAGATCCTCAGAGAGCGACTGGATTAGGATCATATCCCCTTGACTTTATAATAGAGTTCTCATTGACTGTTCAGTGTTTATTACTGAGTCAGACATTTAAGAAATATGTATAGTCGGCCCTCTGTATCCATAGGTTCTGAATCTGCGAATTCAGCCAACTGCTAATTGAAATTATTTGGGGAAAAAAACAATAAAAAAATAACAGTATAAGCTGGACATGGTGGTTCATGCCTATAGTCCCAGCTACTTGGGAGGCTGAGGCAGGAGGATTGTTTGAGCCCAGAAGTTTGAGTCAAGCCTGGGCAATGTAGCAGGACCCCATCTGTAAGTGGGGTGGGAAAAACAATACAATAATAGAAAATAATACAAACAGTACACTTAACAACTATTTATATAGCATTTACATTGTATTTGGTGTTATAAATAATCTAGAGATGATTTAAAGTACTTAGGAGGATGTATGTAGGTCATATGCAAATACTGTGCCATTTTATATATGGTACTTGAGCATCCTTGGATTTTCATACCCTTGGGGGTCCTGGGACCCATCCACTGTGGATGTTAAGGGACAACTGTGCTAATTATGTGTCAGAAACTGTGCTACCTGCCAATTTTGGAGAGTAGAATAAAGCTTCCAATCTATATGCTTATGGTTGATTTCATTCTGACAATCTGTCCAAATTTGAGAAAAGCAACTTGTTCTTATTGGTGAATAGTCATTAAGTCCATTGCCACTGTACTAAATACTGTGAATAGTGGAAATATAAATGGGGGAACCATGGCATATGCCATCTCCTTTGAACCATTCTTCCAATTATGTGTTTCTCCTGGAGTGATGAGTGGTGTTGCTTTTTATCAGAGCTATTTAATAATGTGGTTTTTTTTTTTTTTTTTTTGAGACGAAGTCTTACTCTGTTGCCCTGACATCAGTGAGTGCACTGATATCATCGTAGCTCACTGCAGCCTTAAACTCCTGGGCTGAAACAATCCTCCTGCTTCAGCCTCCTGAGTAACTGTGACTACAGGCGTTTTCCATGACGACCAGCTAATTTTCCTGTTTTTAGTAGAGACGAGATCTCACTCTTGCTCAGGCTCACTCAAACTCAAGCTCAATCAGTCTTCACGCCTGGGCCTCCCAGAGTGGTAGAATTACAGGCATGATCCACCATGCCCAGCCTCAGAACTATTTAATCTTTGATCTTTAAAACACCAACGTCTCTTAACTACCTCTTCCTTGTATCCCAACAAAAAAATCCTGTCTAAGGTATCCAGCCCCCTAAAAGAATAGTGTCAGTTAGAACTAGGGCAGCCTTCTTTAAAAACAAGGCTTATCCTTAGGCAGATTTTCTATTGGAGTGACATCTGGAGAAATGGTCATTTACACAAATGGCATTGAGAGGTGGCTTGACATCTCTCCTCTAGCTATTCTTTGAAAACTCTTAGGGATTTCAGATCCCTGATGAATGACCCTTGTCCAGTGAATAGGACACTAGAATAAAGCAGAAGTAGGGCCAGTATTCTTCCAGGTGTGAGATAGTGTTTTGACAGGTAGTCATCCTTATGCACAGGGTACCATGTGTTGCTGTGTTCACAAATGCAATTAAGAAATAGCCTCTACCTTACAGGACCTTATAATCTCACACTTAGAAAAGAGACAGAGCTGGACATGATGACTTGTGCTTATAGTTCCAGCTACTTGGGAGGCTGAGGCAGGAGAATTGCTTGGGCCCAGGAGTTCTGGACTATAGTGTGTTATGCTGATTGGATGTCTGTACTAAGTTTGGCATCAGTATGGTGACCTCCCAGGAGTGGGGGACCACCAGGTTGCCTAAGGAGGGTTGAACTGGTCCAGGCCAGAAATGGAGCAGATCAGAACTCCTGTGCTGATCAGCAATGGAATCGTGCCTATGAATAGCCACTGCATTCTAGCCTGGGCAATACAGCGAGACCCTGTCTTTAAAAAATAAAAATAAAAAGAAAGACAGATTATATGGTATTCATGGATCCTATAGGGTGTTATCTCAAATTCCAAATTTTTGTCTCATCTCATTTTGAAGTATTCACTGGACTTATTCCTTAATAAGACATCTTCCATATCCTTATTCAGTCAACTCCATTTCCTAGATTTTTATTCTTCCACTAGTCATAGGATAGACTGCTGACACTGCCACACAACAGAATCTTCTTTTGCTGAACCACATAAACTTCATGATCAAATCGGCATTCTTGTTTGTTTGTTTGTTTGTTTTTTTGAAACAGAGTCTCACTCTTTTGCCCGGGCTAGAGTGAGTGCCATGGCGTCAGCCTAGCTCACAGCAACCTCAAACTCCTGGGCTCAAGCAATCCTTCTGCCTCAGCCTCCCGAGTAGCTGGGACTACAAGCATGCGCCACCATGCCCAGCTAATTTTTTCTATATATTTTTAATTGTCCGATTAATTTCTTTCTATTTTTAGTAGAGACGGGATCTTGCTCTTGCTCAGGCTGGTTTCGAACTCCTGAGCTGAAACAGTCCGCCCGCCTCGGCCTCCCAGAGTGCTAGGATTACAGATGTGAGCCACCGTCCCTGGCCTTCAAATCGGCATTCTTTACCACAATTCAGGGTGTGTCCAAATCATTTTGATGGGAACAATTTTGAGAATCAGATCGCCAGGGAAATTTTTGTACTTAGGTACTATAACATAGAAAAGAGGAGTTCAGGTTCTGGAGTCAGATGTTACTTCCTAGCTGGGTTTCCGTTGGTAAGTTTCTTAACCTCCCTCAGCCTCAGTTCCCTCTGTTCCCAGTATCTCATGGAGCCCTTCTATGGACTAAATGGGATCGTTCATTCATGAGTACCAGCTATGTGCCAGGGACAGCCAGACACCTTTCTGTTTTGTGTGTGTGCATCAGTGTCACTTGCCAATGCCAGGTACCTTTCTGCGTGCTAAGGATGCTACAGTGAATAAGACCAACTATGTGAGTTTATTTTAATGGGAGAAGACAGTATAAACAAGTAGACAAATTAAAAATAATGCAATATCTGATAGTGCTAAGTGCTGTACAGAAAATGAAGAGGGGTATTGAGAGAATGCATGATGGGGGCGATTTTAGATGGGGTGGTTAGGAAAGTTTCTTGAGGAGTGACATTGCATTTGAGTAGTGACTCTTGGCGAATAATGTCTGTAGAACATTTAGCATAGTAGCGGGCACTTGGTAAGCATTTGAAATTAGGTGATCATGTGCTTCCTTCTCTCTCTTCTCTCTTCTCCACATATCAAGTGATTTCCCATCATAATTCTAGGAAATAAATTTATTTTTATATCTAGAGTTTATTAAAACTAATTCTTTAAGGAAATGGATTAAGCTCCTTATGGCACATTAGTTAAGAATCTTGGGAAAGACATAAGAATGCGAGGGAAGAAGTCCTGACTCCTCAGAGTGAATAAAGTATAATATTTATGGAAGATGAAGCATCTGTCTATTCATGCATTATCCTTTCCTCCATGTT